GCTTTATGAAGTTAGATTTAAAAAAAATCGATCTATGAAGCATTGTTTATTTTTTTTTCGAGTTAATATATTTTCGAAGGTAATTAGAAAATATGTAAAGAACCGACTTTCTCTTGGAAATTTAATTTATAATCTTATAACTGGATGTGGGAAATGATGTAGGCGGCCATCGACATACAAACATACAAGTATGACAGTGGGGACCCGTACTAAGACTGATCGACGAATACAACACTGACAAGGATTGAACGGACCACACTGAACATACTCAACTATAGACTTCACGAGACAAACGAAGGACAGCAATACAGCAGATTGTATTTGACCGCCTTCAAGCGAAGTTGTTAAGCTAGTCGTAGCATTTAAAGTTAAAATTGATATGTAACCGTGTGTGTGCGAATAAACGTCCAGTTTTGTAAACATTAAAAGCGCGTTTTAATTAAAGACTAAGAGGATTGGGAAGGCCATTCCTACATATATATAGATAAAAAATTTCGTAAGTTGACTTCTTCTGTCGTATTGCAATCTTCAAGTAAAACATCGCCTTCACTGTCGCTAGAAGATGTGTTTGAATCCTCAATTTCATTTTCTGTGATAGGTACAAAATCTTCATCGTCATCACTGTCATCGAAAATGTCCTCCGCGTCAATAACTTGGTGTATTTCTTCAATACTTAGTATCTTTTCATGAAAAACGAGTTTTCATAAAAATACCTAATTGCAACAAAAGTAAATAGTTTGACTTGCCCTTTTTCTTTGAGACATTATTTGAAATCTTCCAATAACCTCTTTTATGTACAAACAACTTTTGATAAGCTTGTTTCTGTATGACAGCAATTTACTACCTGGGCGAATATTCCACGAGTTGACAATAGCGCTTTGCATACTTGCATGAAACGGGAATTCCCCGTTTTCGCAATACGAACGAAATTGTCGATGATCAATAAAGATAGTACTCAGCAAAATGTGAGCGCTTTCCGATAAATAATTTCCTTTATCGGAAAATTTGATCGAAGTAGGCAGTAGGGCATGACACATTCTTACTAAAACACTTGGTGGGTCAAACTGACCCACCAACGCCATAAGTGTTACCAAAACATATTTAGAATTCTCCAGTAAGATAAAAAACAATTATTTTTATAATTAGTGTGTTAATCCGTTTTGTTTAATTCAGTAAGCAAGTGGAAGAAGAATCAGCACGATTCGATTAGATTAACCTACGAATTTCGATAGGTTTTGCTTAAAATTGGGTCAATTTGACCCAAACATAGCAGAAGGGTGAAGTCATACCTTTATAATCGAAAGTTTGCAGTTCGATGTAACACCACCATCTCTGAAGCCCGTGCAATCGAAACTGGAGTGCCACAAGGCAGTGTCCTTGGCCCGATGCTGTATGTCTTATACACCGCGGATATTCCTACAAACGACCGCCTGATAATGTCCACTTTTGCCGATGACACTGCCATAATCAGTCGCTCCAAGTGTCGTCTACAAGCAACTGCGCTCCTAGGCAATCATATGAAAGCTGTTGCCAATTGGCTCGCAAAATGGCGAATAAAGGTTAATGAGCAAAAATGTAAGCAAGTTACATTTACACTGAATAAGAGTAACTGTCCATCCTTGACTTTGAACAACGTACAAATACCACAAAGCAATCATGTCACTTACCTAGGGGTCCATCTGGATAGGCGACTTACTTGGCGAAACCACATAGTGGCTAAAAGGACTCATCTCAAGCTGAAGCCCAATTCTCTCCACTGGCTTATTAACTCTCGCTCACCCCTGAGTCCGGAGTATAAAGTGGTTATTTACAATACAGTTTTAAAACCGATATGGACCTGGATGTGAGTTACGCGAGCAGCAGCAACATCGAAATCCTTCGTCGTGCGCAATCTAAAATCCTTCGAACAATCACCGGAGCACCTTGGTATATCCGAAATGAGAACATTCACCGTGACTTGAGAATACCAGAAGTACGAACCGAAATAGAACAACGGAAGACGAAATATGTATCGAAGCTTTTAGTGCACCCAAATCATTTAGCAAGATCTTTATTGCGTGTCAACAAGACGTCAAGACTACATAGGAATGACTTACCAGCCCAGTCGTAATCTTTTCTTAGGGCCAGTTAAGAAAATACTCATCNATTAAACAAGTAATTTTTAAGAAAAAAACAAAACCGACTTCAATTCTCATATACAAATTTAGGAGTACCGTTAATTTTTTCATGATTTAATGATCGGATCTAAACCAAATTATGGGACGACCCTTAAGTTACCATCTATCCGGTAAAAAAAAGATTAATTAGAATCGGTTCACGCGGTCCAAAGTTATGTTTGAGTTCTTTGTAAATTTTATGTAAATAAAATGCAATTTATGAAACTTTAAAAAGTTTATTTATTTATTACATACTGTACATAAAACTTGCNCATACTGAGCATCTTTCTCTTTGACACCATGTCTGAAATCCCACGTGATCTGTCAAATACTAATGCATGAAAATCCTAACCTCAAAAAAATCACCCGTTAGATTAAGATTCGAAAACTTATTGTTAGGCTCTTAGGCAGGGCAGATTCAATAAGAAAAAAAAAGTAAAAAAAGTAAAAAAAAGTAAGTGTTTATTGTGCTTGTGATTGTGTGAATGTGTTTTGTACATACANAAGTGTATATTTTAAACTACTCATGTTCAAAATCAAATCTTGAACATCTTGTGCGTATACTTGAACAGATTATGGTTGAAAAATAAACACTTTTCAGTAGTAGTTTTACATGCACTTTTTAGAGTGTATTACAGAATAGACTAATTATATGTTTTAATTTATAATGATAATAACAATAATAGTAATAATAATAACATAAAATAGCAGGTTTGGTAGCTGGCGAGGCCTAGTCTTCAGTCTACTTTTGTGTGCGGCGGGCGGAAAGACCTAGTTTCCGCTCCGCGCTGCGGACAGGCTGTTGATCAAGGTCGGTAAGGCCGGGTTTCCGATCCAGGTTCCCGAAGACATTACTTTGTATGTGTGGCAGGCGGAAAGCTCTGGTTTCCGCTCCGCGCTACGAACAAGCTGTTGATCATGGTCGGAAAGAACAAGTTTCCGATCCATGCTCCCGAAGTCATTACTTTGAATGTGTGGCAGGCGGAAAGCTCTAGTTTCCNGGTTTTATTGTTGCCATTCTTTGGACTAAAAATTTGGTGTTTTGCGTTCCTTAACTTTTTCCTGTTATTCTCTTTTAGTGAGTGCATTTTGCTCACGCTCTTGCATTTTGCTCACGCTCTTGCATTTTGACGCTTTTCATATTTTAGTCCGAAAAGATAAGGAATGGGCCTAGTATAAATGGTTGTCTGGACATACAACATTACAAGTTGAGAAAAGCGTTGTAAAATGAATGCATCATGATTACATTCATAGAAATAGTCGTAAAGTGCGTTAAGACCACCCATTAAATATTATGCTCTAACATTTTGTGCATTTATTTGCAAGTATTTGGCTACATTTTAAGAAAACCGAATATTAATGTTGTGTGAAATTCAGACTTTTTTGCGTTTTTGCTTTCGTTTCGGCTTTTAACCGTAGCATTTTAGCAGCGAAGTACCATAGAAGGAAATGCATGTCATAAGCTATGATGTGAAAGAAGTGCAATTTTTATAGATTTTCCTGTAGAAATTTAGAATAAAAGGCATAGTAATGAAAAAACCGAATATTAAAGTTATTATTTAATTAATTAATTTATTTTTTTTTTTTCAAATATTGGTTTGGTTTTCTTTTGCTTACTTAATTCAAATAATAGAAACATTTTTATTAGGAATGGGTCGCACGAAAATTCGAAACACAGTTTCTGTCAAAGGACTAATATGGGGTCTGAGAAGAGAGAGTGAAACTACCTCTAAAAATGAATGCATCATGATTACATTCATAGAAATAGTCGTACAGTGCGTTCAAACCTCCCATGTTTTAAATAGACAAATTATTAAATCTTACTACTATTGGCTTCATAATTTCCATTTCTCATCATTTATTTATCATCTATTGCAGAGTGGAAAAACGTATGTCATCACTGAACATCGATTAAAGGTGACTGAGAAACTGATGGATTAAGGCATAAAATATTCATTTATTTACTAGAACTACATATGGAGCCAGAGAATAACAAAACTCGAAATCGCTTATTTAACTTGGAAGCACCCTAAATTCAGCTGCAATTATTTTTGTAAAAGTTATTCTCTTAATTATAAAATAAAAGTTGGATAGTTAATTGTGTACTAACAAATATACATATCGTTACCTTAATATACAGACATATAAACTAATTGTCTGATGTAGTAGTTGGTTTTATATTCGACTTTTCTATTAACTTTCTATTAAGGTAGCGATATGTATACATATGTATGTATATGTGTATGTAGATATACATATGTATATACCCTGCCAGCATTTTCTATCGTGGTTCTACAAGTCGGTGCTCAAAAATCTGTAACCGTGTAATAGAAATACCATGATATAAGGTCATGTAAAAGACACATAATAGATGATTTTTATAAAACTGCAGTAAATATACTACTAAAACGATGTTCACCGTATTAAGTACTCAGTGACTTATATCGCACGTAACATTCTCAAAACTCTGCAGAGTAAGGTAAGGCTAAAATAAATAAAAGAATTAAAATAAAAAGAACAAACAAAAATGCAGATTTTTAATATTAATTTTATTGAAATCCAACAATCCGATTTTGTTTATATATGCCTTTAAATTCTGTTCCAAAAGCATGTCTTCAACTTCCGGATCAAAAGCCTTCGATAGCCAGGGAAGATCGAATTCAACTCATAATAAGGGCCAATATTAAAATACAGTCGTGCGCACAATTTTAGGAAAATATCTTCAAAACTGAGGAAGTATTTTTTTTATTATAAAATAACTAGTTAAAATTTAAACAAAGTTTCAAGTACCGCTCTCTCGAAAAGTGAAGCCAATCGGGCAAAACTGGGGACGCCATTGAATTTACAAGGCTCCAATTAAGTAAGAGCAACTATCCGAACCTTTGTCAAGAAGAAGCATCATTAAAAGTAGTTAAGCAGGGTTTTTACACACTTCTAGTAAAAATTTTTTGGAAGCATTTTTCAGGTATATGTAATGTTATAAGGCCTAGTAGTTATAAAAAGATTTAGATCGTTTTGACGTATTTTCCAAATGTGCCTGCAATTAAGATGTTTTTGCATTAAAAATTACGCTCAAGATCGCAGAATATTTTATCTTTAAGAGTTGGTTTATTCTGAAAGCATACCTCTTGCTAGGGTATCAAACTATTCGTAATTGTTTGTAGAATACAATATGTACGTACTTAAAAAGTTTGTAAAATGAAATGCTTCAAAAACTATACTCGATAAAGTAGAGTTAGAGTAATTAATTATTCACCTCTTAAAAAGTACATAAAAAATTCACTTGTTTTTATTTTTTATATATTTTTTTAATGAAAACATCTATAACTCAAAAGTTATGGCGATTTCGTTTCTACAAAAAATGTTGCCTTCTCAGCGCCCTCTTTTTAGTGTTTGTGCGTAGGGGGCAAAGAGAAGGTTGCATTTTTCGGTAGAAACGAAATCGGCATTAGGCAACAAATTGATTCAAAACTTGTTCGAGGCTTTAAGTATACGTCTGTGAATTATATCCAAAAGCAACCCGCTTGATATAATTTAAAGCAATGAAAATAAAGCTAAATAACACAAAGGTTAACTGTTTTTTAGATTTGCCCATATGGAAGTTGCTTCTGAAATAAGAACTGATAAGTATTGAAAAACAGTTTAAATACACACGGGACTTACTACACATTTTCCAAGAGTAATTCAGAAAACGTAAAATGTACTTCAGAATAGTCAGTTTATTTTACAATTGACTATTCTGAAATACATTTACGTTTTCTGAAGTACATTTGATGCTTTCTGAAGAACATTTTACAGTTTCTGAAGTACATTTGACGCTCTCTGAAGTACTCTTGGAAATGATGTAGTATCTTCCATTTATTTAGAGTTTATGTTATTATATTTGAACTTGCTAAAGATTTGCTAATACATATATTGATACACAGAGGCGCAAGTCGCTTTTGTTGATCCTTACGGTATATTAATATACAGGCCTTTATATCTATAATGAATAAAATTATAGTTTAAAAAACTAAAACCTCCCTATTATAATTGCCATTCGTACTGTCATCAAGTATGTAACTTGAGAATACGTCGCTACGTCTTTTAGCGGCATCAATATTACATAGTTACATCCCGAGCTAATAAAAGGAAGGTAAAAATGATTTTTATTTATTTATTTATTTGGTCTACAGAAAAATGTTTTCTTACAGACAAATGAGAATAGAACATTTAGATATTTAAGTATTTGTGATATACACTCTAAAAAATTTTTGTTTAAATTTGCGTATATTAAGATAGGTAACCAGTTTCCTCTCTTAATAAATGCATATTTACACACCATGTTTATTAAATTAAACACTGCATGCTTCCTTTTACTTATCATATGTGTGGCGTAGAACAAATTTCAATTTTGTTTTTTNCACTCTAAAAAATTTTTGTTTAAATTTGCGTATATTAAGATAGGTAACCAGTTTCCTCTCTTAATAAATGCATATTTACACACCATGTTTATTAAATTAAACACTGCATGCTTCCTTTTACTTATCATATGTGTGGCGTAGAACAAATTTCAATTTTGTTTTTTGAGTTCTAAACATTTATTTTTCACAATTTCACAGTTTACACATAAAATGTTTAAAATTTCCTCTAAAAAATGTTCGTTTAAATGTACGCATATAAAGAGAGGTAACCAGTTTCCTCTCCTTGTGTGTGCAAAATTAAACACTAGCCGTCATCGATTCGCCAACAGTTAGCAAGTGGCGAAACGAACGAACTAAATGAGGTACAACCAAACTTGCTATCGTCTATCCGTGCTAGCTAACTTTGTTGTTGCTTTCACATGCAAAATTTTTCGTTAAGCGACCGGAACTCAAACATGGCAAGCAGCGAAATGGCGAATCGATGACGGCTGCTGTCTGTTTACTTTTACATACCAAATTTGTCACGTAGGGGTGGGTTTTGGGGTTAAATTTATTATGATTTAAGAAATTTTTATAGAAGAAAATTTCTTTTGCATTTCTTGTGCGTCATTTTGTAAGATTTTTCTTTTACCTTGAGAGTTCTTTAAAGTTGAACTGCGAATGAAAACATTGTCCTAAAAATATGCAATGCATACCCACTTACTGTTGCTTTTTACACTTTACAGCCTAAAAAAGTTTACCACTGATATGTACTTAACAAGTATTCGAAGATTTAATTTGCTAACTTCGAATTCGTTCCACCAAAATGAGCTACATGATAAAAATACAAGTTTAGTTAAGTTTTCGTTATTCGAAGTATTAAAAAAATGAGAAACCAGAAATCGACGAAAATGAATATAAAAGCGTAAAAATTTCATGGAATTATTTAATTTATTTATATTAAAATTCTTTTGTAAAATTTTGTATTACTTTTGAAAGTTGAGTGCATCTTTAACCGTTAATTTTTTCATGATTTAATGATCGGATCTAAACCAAATTACGAGACGACCCTTAAGTTACCATCTATCCGGTAAAAAAAAGATTAATTAGAATCGGTTCACGCGGTCCAAAGTTATGTTTGAGTTCTTTGTAAATTTTATGTAAATAAAATGCAATTTGTGAAACTTTAAAAAGTTTATTTATTTATTACATACTGTACATAAAACTTGCATAAATTTATTTTAAAGAGCGTATTATCTGAAGCAAATTTTCTGTATTTGCTGATAATATATATTTAGAAGTATAAACACCCTGGGTGCGCCCCTGGCACTTAGTATTTATTATTTGTAAAAAATATATTTTTACTTTCAAAATGGTTGTAATTTTAAACATTTCATGTGTATATTTAAGTGTATATTTTAAACTACTCATGTTCAAAATCAAATCTTGAACATCTTGTGCGTATACTTGAACAGATTATGGTTGAAAAATAAACACTTTTCAGTAGTAGTTTTACATGCACTTTTTAGAGTGTATTACAGAATAGACTAATTATATGTTTTAATTTATAATGATAATAACAATAATAGTAATAATAATAACATAAAATAGCAGGTTTGGTAGCTGGCGAGGCCTAGTCTTCAGTCTACTTTTGTGTGCGGCGGGCGGAAAGACCTAGTTTCCGCTCCGCGCTGCGGACAGGCTGTTGATCAAGGTCGGTAAGGCCGGGTTTCCGATCCATGTTCCCGAAGACATTACTTTGTATGTGTGGCAGGCGGAAAGCTCTGGTTTCCGCTCCGCGCTACGAACAAGCTGTTGATCATGGTCGGAAAGAACAAGTTTCCGATCCATGCTCCCGAAGTCATTACTTTGAATGTGTGGCAGGCGGAAAGCTCTAGTTTCCGCTCCGCACTGTGGACAAGCTGTTCAGCATGGTCGGAAAGAACGAGTTTCCGATCCATGTTCCCGAAGGCATTACTTTGAGTGAGTGGCAGGCGGAAAGCTCTAGTTTCCGCTCCGCGCTGTGGACAAGCTGTTTATCATGGTAGGAAAGGCCGAGTTTCCGATCAATGCACGTATTGTCTTACGCGGTCGCGAAAATATACGAAGCCGATTACAATTGTACTAAGCAGTCATAGATATTGTGTAATTTATCGTTCCCGGTTAAAGATATTAATTTATTTAGTTACAAAAAAGCGATTCACGTTTACGTTTACCTCATAAACTGAGCAGAAATACAGTTCACCAGCTGAACGATAAGGTGCAATGTAAGGGTTTATTCAAAATCTCAAGTAAGGTTTTCTTAATGGTAAAATGTGAGTCGGAGGGGTCAAAATAGTCGTAATGCTTATTAAAGTCCTGGTATATGCAACGAAAAGCATCATGCATTTCAAAATTTGTTCTACAAATAGTTAGCTTAATGGGCTTGTAATGTCTAGAAGGCCTAGAAGGAATACAAAACGTGATCTGGTTCAGTAGAAAGGGACTATTGACCATCCCGTTCAAGATCTTAATCATGAACAAAACCCCGAGCATCTCTCTACGGCTGTGCAGCGTTGGCAAATTTATGAGCTTCAAGCGGCTTTTGTACGGTGGGAGATTTAATGTCGAATCCCAAGGCAAATTATTTAATGCGAATAATAAGAATTGTTTCTGTACCGACTCGAGTCTGCCAGAGTGCGTTTGATATCTAGGGTTCCATACGACGGACCCGTATTCTAAGATCGGCCTGACTAGGGAGGTGAAGAGAGCTTTGGTGACATAAGGATCTCTTAATTCTTTAGCCCTACGTTTGATGAAAGCCAAGACGCCCTTGGCTCTATTAACACAAGAGTTTATATGGGACTTGAATTCAAGCTTAGAGTCCATGGTTACGTCTTGATCGATGAAATTAGTTACCTGATCAACACTATGCGGTAGCTATATGATTGAAAGGGTTTTCTAGAGAAACACAGAAATTTACACTTTTTCAAGTTAAGTGACATAGAATTTACTTCGCACCATTTAAACACATTACTAAGGTCCACCTGT